TACCCGGGATAACCCTTAGAGTTAGCCACCCCAGGATAACCCAGGGTAGGGAGAGTTAGCCACCCAGGATAACCCAAGAAAGTCAGTGGGTCATCGAGGACTGTCTGTCTTACATATTTCCATTGTGGTCCTTCAATCTTGTCCCCCAGGATGCCACCCACACTGGTCACTCTAGGTGAACAGTGACAGCAGGTGTAAGGTGACTAACACCCAGGTACCTACTTACTGCTAGGTGAACAGTGACAGCAGGTGTCTTAAGGAAACACGACCTACTGTTTCCACCCGTACCGCGAATCAACCCCCGGACCTCAGTGTGTGAGCTGAGAAATTCACAGTATTTTGTGTTTTCAGAACATCCGGTTGCTGGACTATGAGCGTATGTGTGACAGGCAAGGCCAGCATGTGGTGGTGTTCGGCAAGTATACTGGAGTTGCTGGCATGATCAACATTCTTAATGGACTTGGTCTTTGTCTCCTAATACTTGGGCATCACACACCCTTCATGGTATGCTACTACTTGAGCATCACACACCCTTCGTGGTATGTTCCTAGCACTTGGGCATCACACCCTTCATGGTATGTTCCTAGCACTTGGGCATCACACACCCTTCATGGTATGTTCCTAGCACTTGGGTATCACACACCTGGTTAACGCTCTCGCTTCACACGGCGAGGGCCTGGGTTCGATTTCCAGCCAGAGTAGAAACATTGGACGTGTTTCTTTCCACCTGTTGTCTATGTTCCCCATCAGTAAAATGGGTACCTGGATGTTAGTCGACTGGTGTGGGTCGCATCCTGGGACACTGACCTAATTTGCCCGAAATGCGGAGCATTACAAGGGACTTTCTATATAGTAGTATGTCATTGTTATCAGCTAGGACTGTATACCCTGTACATGTACTTGTAGTAAAATAAAGATATTATTATTATTAACAAGAAAACGTCAAAACCTTCTGTTCAGGCTGAGAAAACTTAAACAGGAAAACAAAATACATCAGTGTTTCACGCGAGATGGGAAAATACTAGTAAGGAAAACATCAACAGGACAACAATATACTATCTCAAACGAACACGATTTCTCTACCTTCCTTAGAAAAGCTGTCATTTCTGTAACAGATTAGATAAGTGCCCTTAATACATATATACGTGTGGTGCATATAGTGTACCTTACTATTATATTGTGCATTATTATTTTTATTATTTTTTTCATCACAAGCTAATGCTAACTACCTCCAATAGTTTTTTACTTCTTTCTTACTGCTATTAATTGCTCATAATTTTATGTTACAAGTCAAATCTTACTCCAAATTAATATTATTCATTGTTCTTACCTGTCCTTTTAATTTTGTTTACCACTACTTGTTTTTTATTCACTTTTTATTGTGTGTGCAATTAGTGTATATTCCAATTACTTTTTTGCAAGTACCAAAACTATCTTTTGCTAGCTAGTACCAACTACCTCATTTTTTTTTTTTTTTTTTTACTTTTTATTGTGCAATAAACTGCTCAACTTATAAATATTACAAATCAGATCTTACTCCTAAACCAATATTATTTCATAGTGACTATCTGTCCATTTAACTTGTTTACCATTACTTAATTGTAGTCCCTTATATTTTTTTCCTTTATTTTAGCTTTATATAACTACCTTAGCTCATATATTCACAATTGTTAAAATAATCAAGGTGCTATTCTCAGGTGCTAAAGTTAATAAGTTCACTATTTTGCCATTATACTCCAAAGCTCATTTATTTGATTACCACTTTATTGTTCACCACAACTTATATTAGTCCCTTTTATATTATAATTTTATATTGTAATTCTAACTTTAAAGAATTACCTTTAAAGTACTACCTACTATCATATTCCCAAGCTCCATTATTTGATCATCACTTTATTTGTTCACCACAAATTATTTTAGTCCCTTTTATATTGTCTCCTTTATTTTAGCTTTAAAAAACTACCTTAGCTCATTATTTTTACATTTGTTAAATAATTCAGGTGCTATTTTTTTTTAGCTTTAAAATATTTACTTTATTTTTTACTTAATTCTAACTATAGATTCACTACAAATCTTATGATTACAAGCATTGATCCTGATACCAACCTCTTATTTAATGACTTAAATGATTCAAACAGTTACTGTAATTACTACACAGCAGAACAATCAAAGGCACTTTTCAGAGCCAACAACAACATAACTGTCTTTAACTACAATATCAGATCTTTAAGCAAGCATTATGATGACCTCCTAGCATTACTAAATTCCTTGCATGCCAATATGTCCATCATTACACTAACTGAAACCTCGCTAAAGCCTGATACTACAGATGTCTGTGCCATTCCTGGTTACACAGCCATACACAACTGTAGGCCAGACCAACAAGGGGATGGCACTGCTATATACTACTCAGACCAACTAGAATGTATCACTAATACTTGCACAAGGATGAACATGGGGAATATATAATAGCTAAATTCAAATCCAAATACCTACAAAAACCTCTCACAGTGATAAACATCTACAGAGTTCCACAATCAAACATTAGCCAATTTAGTCAAAACCTAGGAAGTATGATAACTGATGCATGCATGAACAAAGATCACTTACTACTCTCAGGTGACTTCAATATAAATCTCCTGCAAGACCAGGACCCACACGTTACTGAATTCACAAACACAATGAGTAACTGCATGTTGCTACCAACAGTAACAAAACCTACAAGAGTTACAGAGACTAGTGTTCCCTACTTGACCACATCTGGACCAACACCATATCCCCTTTAAAATCAGGCATAATTTACAGATAATACCACAGACCACTACCCTCTTTCCTCATAACAACTCTTGGTAAAATACCCCAAGACACTACTAAAGTCACCTTCAGACTTCACAATGAGGCAGCCATTAATAACTTCACAACAGCAGTAACAAACATTGACTGGCACACTGAGCTAGAAATCTATACAGATATTGACGAATGTTTTAATAATTTTCTAAAGAAGACCCAATACCTTTATAACAAGCACTGCCCTAAAAAAACTAAACAGATGACAGCTAAGAGACTGAAACAGTCCCTGGCTAACACCCAGCATTCTCAAATCCATAAATACAAAACACCGATATGAAAAACAGTAAAGAATGGGTCACATAACCAGAGACCAAACAAAACGTTACTCGTCAATCCTAACCAGCCTGATAAGAAGGGCAAAAAATTGTATTATGAGAACAGATTATCCAACTTACAAGGTGATATAAAAAAGACTGGAAGACCCTATCAGAAATTCTGGGAACAAAAAAGATATCACGACATAGCGAAATAAAATTAGCAAAATCAGATGAACCCCAACTCCCACCAACAGAAACAGCAAACAGACTCAATGATTTCTTCTCCACTATAGGTCAAAACCTTGCCAATAAAATCCCAAGCTCAGATACCCCACCAAATGACTACCTCACTGGCAACTACCCGAACACACTGTTCCTAGCTCCGACTAACCCATACGAAGTCTCCCTTATTATCAACGCACTGAAAAACAAGGCAGGAGATTTAAATACCTTACCACCCTTTATATACAAAAAAGCATCACAAGTACTATCACCAATCATTGCAACACTCTTTAACAAATCCATTGAATCCTCCACCTTCCCTACAGTTCTCAAAATAGCAAGGGTCACCCCGATCCATAAAGGAGGAGACCAAACAGAGTTGAATAACTATAGGCCAATATCCAATTTACACCCTCTCTCAAAAATCTCGAAAAATTAATTCATAAACGAATCTACTCCTACCTCATCTCCCAAAACATTCTCAACCCCTGCCAATTTGGATTCAGGCCTAATAAAAATACTAATGATGCTATTATACACATGCTAGAACATATATACATGTACACTGCAATAGAGAAAAAAGAAGTCCCACTGGGGATCTTCATTGACTTATGTAAAGCTTTTGATACAGTTGACCATGACTTGCTCCACGTAAAATTGTCACACTATGGTATTAGAGGGCACTCCTTCAATTACCTCAAGTCTTACCTCAGCAACAGAAGCCAATATGTGTACGCAAATGGGGCAAGCTCTTCCGCACAACCAATTACAGTGGTGTCCCACAGGGAAGTGTCCTTGGCCCTCTTCTCTTTCTCCTATACATAAATGACCTACCAAATGCTTCGCAATTACTCAAACCCACACTTTTTGCAGATGACACGCTAGCCAATACTGTAAACACCGAATTACAGAAAATATCTACCTGGATGAGGACTAACAAACTTACACTAAACATTGACAAAACCTACTTCATTCAGTTTGGTAACAGAGCTACAGATGTACCTCTTAACATAACGATAAACGGATCACCTATCACAAAGCTAACAGAGGGAAAATTCTTAGGAATCCACCTCGATAATAGACTCAAATTTCATACACATGTACAATAAATTTCTAAGAAAATTTCCAAGACTGTAGGCATACTATCGAAGATATGGTACTATGTTCCACAGTCAGCCCTCCTGGCCCTTTATCACTCTCATTTACCCCTATCTCACCTATGGAATTTGTGCATGGGGCTCAACAACAATTAACCATCTCAGACCACTAATTACCCAACAAAAGGCTGCAGTTAGAATGATAACAAATTCTCACTACAGGCAACACACTCCACCAATATTCAAAACACTCAACCTACTCACCATACAAAACATCCATACTTATTATTGCACCTATTACATACATAGAACACTTAACTCTGATATTAACCCTCCCCTCAAACATCTCCTTGCCAACCTCAACAGAACACATGACCATAACACAAGGCACAGATCACTCTTTGATGTTCCTCGTGTCCATCTCACACTATGCAAAAAGTCAATGCACATAAAAGGCCCTAAAATCTGGAATTCATTACCTGTAAATATAAAAGAAACACTACCTGTTTACAAATTCAAGTCTCTTCTCAAAGTTCACTTACTCACTCAAAACCAAATAAATACTGAATAACCTGAACCTTATAAATTGTATATCCAAAATGTTACTCACAATTATATCACATAAATGTTAAACCTAGGACCCAATCTAACTTTGTTATTTTTTTAAATACACTACATAACAGAATACTCCATTCTACTGAATGAACAGCAATGCATGCAACCATATGACCTGTCTTTGTAATACTCATTTGTGCTTTATAGTTATCTGTTTACAATAATGTCTTATCACTGATTTCATCATTGCTTAGTTAATCTTAAGTTAATTTTAAGCCAGCCCGTAATGCTATGCATATAAGTGGCTTTGGCATGCTGCTCTTACCTGTATTTTTTTTGTACCTCTGTATGTATGCTAAAAATTTCTAAATAAATAAATAAATAAATTATTCATGGTATGTTCTTAGCACTTGGGCATCACACACCCTTCATGGTATGCCATTACAAATACCCCTCCACGATGGGCAATACTGTACTGGCAGTACTGTACTAACAATAAGTTCTGTCAGTCTTATTATCAGTAACTGCTATAATAATACAAATAATTAGTATAATCAGTAAATATTGAATCAGTTGATTCCTACAGCACATTGGACCTGCCCATAATTACCGCAACACAGAGATGGCAAAACAGTCAATTTGTGACACTGGCTATGAAATTTCGCTGGGCATGATGCCGAAATCCATTGGTTCTCTGATGTTCATCTTCACGGGCACCGGGAACGTGCCGCAGGGGGCCCAGGAGATAGTTCAGGAGCTGCCCCGGGTTATGTCTTGGAAGGTGGAAAAATTGAAACTCCAAACAAATGACCTGTAGGGTTTAAAAATGCTGTAATGGGGTAAGTAATTTATGAATGACCTAATTTCACACCACCACCCTAACTGGTCCAGACTTACCAGATAACGGGATAAAGGTTCAAACCTACACCACTAATGGACAGACAAAATTAAATGTTTATTTGCTTAATCATGTTTTTACAGTGAGGGGTGACTGTAAAATGTTTCACAAAGGGGTGACATGATACAATGTTTTTACAGTGATGGGTGCATTACAATGTACAGTGATGGGTGACATGAAAATGCAGGATGGGTTCATGATACAATTACAGAGTGGTTGACAGAAAAAATGTTTGTACAGAGAGGGTTTTGACATGAAACAATGTTTGAACAGTGATGGGTGCTGAACAAGTTTGACATATGGGTGACATGAACAATGTACGTTGGTTAAACATAACAAGTTTTTACAGTGATGGGTGACATGATACAATTTTGTCGGAGGGGTGACAGATACAATTTTGAACAGTATGGAACATGTACAAAGTACAGTGTGGGGAAAAGATACAAGTTTGTACAGTAAAAGGACTGAAAAATGACAGTGAGGGGTGACTGATAGTTTTGTACAGTATGGTTGACAATAAAATGTTTTGTATATGAGGGGTGACATGATAGTGCTTGACAGGTGATGACAGAATATTGTACGTGAGGGGGACATGATACATTTTTAATGGGTAAATGAAAAATGGTTTACATGATTTTGCATGATCATGTTGTACAGGAGGTGACATGATAAAAGTTTTACATGAGGGGTGACATGATACAGTGCTTGTACATAGGGTACAATACAATTTTTTACATATTAATACAATTTGTCATAAATTTACATAACATCTTTACAATAATATTACATAACACTTCATTAACAAATTTTTACAAAACAAATAAAAACAAACACCCCCCATTTTCAAACACAAAACAATCATGTTTACAGTATGGTAATGTAAGGCTTGTAAAAGATGGGTGACGAAAGTGTTGTACAGTTAGGGGTTTGACTATTTTTTGTCTAGGGGACTGATGGTTGACGGGAAAGGGTGCTGTACATGTTTTAATGGGTTGACATGATAGTGCTTGTAAAATGATGGGGACATGATACGTGCTTTACATGTTGGGTGACATGAACAGTGCTTGTAAAATGAGGGGTTACTGTACATGCTGACGGGGGTAACATTTAGGTGTGCAAGCAGGAACCCCATAGCTGCAGAGCTTTTTTGGGGTTCAACTTGCAATTTTTTGACTTTACAATGGTTTTGACTTAGAGAGTTCGACTTTACGAGGGGTAGCGAAAATTTACTTTGGAATAAACTTAAGATAATACCCAACTTTAAATGAAATTTGTTTTCATTCATTACTTTTTTTAAATGGTAACCTTCCCCCTCATTAAACGATGGAGTTCCTTTCATGAGACCAGTTAAAAAACGAATTCGCGCAAAGTGAGACATATATAAGGTAGGGGTTTTTTGTGCAACCATAAAGCATGTCTGTAAATTGAATAAACGAAAGAGGAAATCAGCTCAATATACATTATTTAGGTATGATACGGTCAGAGAGCCCATGAAGTCCGGGGGCATCAGTAAAGGGAGTACGTCACTAATGGGGAGAGGCGTATTTAGTTGTTCAGAAATTTATTTGTTATTTACTGTTGAATGCAGTATTTTTAATTATTATTTTTTTAGCATATCTATTTATATTCTCCTATGATATTTTCAACTTACGAGCTTTGTTAGAAAATAATCCCCTGTAAGTCAAAACACCTTCCTGGCCTTTTAACAGTGATTTTTCTACCCCGGGGGTAATTTCCTTTTTCTTTGGGCTTGAAAAAAAGAAGGGGGGTTTTGGTTTTAAAAAATTTTTTAGCATGTAAATAATATAATACGTAAAAATAAACTCTTTATTTCTGCAAGTACAATTACAGTAAATCCTTGACTTACAACACCCGAGAATCTTTTGTATTTCTTTAAATTCATATAAGGGAAATCTTTAACCCCGAACACATTTGGGGACTTTCTGATTGTGTATAATATTGATTTATAACAATACCCTAGCCCCCATTTTTACGAGCTTCAAAAATCGCAAATGCCCCCCACCCAATCATACATTTTTTTTTTTTTTTTATTTCACCCCCGGCGATTCCCCCCAAGGCAGGGTGGCCCGAAAAAGAAAAATTTTCCCCCATTCATCCATCACTGGGCTTGCCAGAAGGGCTTTACACTACGTTTTTAATGAAAATTCCAACTTAACACCCCCCCCTCAGAGTGCAGGCACTGTACTTCCCATCCCAGGCTCAAGTCCGGCCGGGCCCTTCCCCCAACCCTTCATAATGTTACTTTGCTCACACCCAACAGCACCCAAATATTTAAAAACCCTTTGTCTCCTTCACTTTCCCTTTAAACCCTCAGCAGCCGCTGAAGTCCAAGCCCTCGCACACAAAAAACCCCCTTTTCCCTCCCTCCAACCTTTCCAGGCCGACCCTAATCCGCCTTCCCCTTCCCCTACAGACAAACACTTTGTCTCTACATGTCCGAACCACCTCAACAACCCTTCCTCAGCCCCCTTTGGGCAACATTTTGGTAATCCCGCACCCCCTCCTAATTCCAAAAACGAATTTCTGCATTTTATTCACACCACACATTGCCCTCAGACTGACATCTCCCCTGCCCCCAGCCTTCTCCCCCGGGGCCAAAATTCATCACCCCTGCTTTACACCCCTAAAGGCGTTGGGGGAAAACTATACTCCATACATTCCCCCTTTTCCTCCAAGGACAAAGTTTTTTTGCTCCACAGACTCCAATGCCCATCACCCTTTTCCCTCATCAATTTTATGATTTACCTCATCTTTCATAGACCTGCAGTGGAAACCCCAACTGAACAAAGAAACTAAGGAAAATAAATAAAGAAATAACTAGAAAAATAAGAATAATGATTTTTTTAAGATTTTACAAAAAAATTTAAAAAAAAAAAAAAAAAAAGGCCCTTTCAGTTCTTGTATTTGGGCAGGAAAAAGGTAAGGCCCTGGTTAGATCTTCTGAATTTTATGTAGGTTTCCGGGGCGAGGTAAAAATCCGTTTTTTTTGGAAATTTCCCACCCTTTGGGAGGGACCCCACAATAGAATAGGTAAGGCCGGTATAGAATAATTTTAAAAAGAATTTTAAAAATGTCTTGCTATTTTAAAATCTGGGTCTATCCTGGAAGACCACGCCAAACAGAGCTGGTAATAAAAAAAAAAACTGATTACCCAAGTCATATAATAACATTTAAAATGAAAGAAGGGATAAATGCCCAAATTCATTACTGGAACCATTGCGAACAAAAGAAAGAACAAACCCAGTAATTCCCTGGTAGATCACCCTACCTGATAGGAAAAGTGGTGGAATTGACTCTCCAAACTTCAACCCAAACCAGGTAAGGCCCAATATTACCCAGGAGTAAAAAAAACTTAACAATTCGGACACCAGGAACTAGTTTTGCCCCCAGCCCGCCAGAGGGGGGGGTGCGCGCGCAACCGTAACTCCTAAGGGTTTCCTGTGGCCTGAACAACCTTAACCCCACTTACCCTACTTTTCCCTCAAAAATACCCCCTTCCAAAACTTATGGACGAGTCAATAAGTCAACGAACAGAGGAAAAAAAAAAAAATATACCCCTCGCTCGCCAATTGAGAATGGTTTTCAGAGCCTGAAATATAACGACTTTAAATAAGGGCTGAATAGCCAGAGCCCAACTCAAGAGTCTGCTATTTAAACCCTTTAAAGTTTTCCCAAGTAAAAATCAGTGGTTTTGTAAACTGTTTCCAAGCACAAAGGGTTACCGGGATAGGTAGATTTAAATAACTATACCCCATAATAACGCATACATTCTTTCTCCACAGTGGAATATCTTCTTCCCCTGGCAGAAGCTTCTTACTGCGAAGATACTGAGGAAAGGTGTCCCCCCCTTCATAATTAATGAAGTATAAGCCCCGAGCCCAGAATGGGAAGGCATCTGTTCGAGAAAAAATATTTTTTTAAAATATCTGTTAAATTTAGGACAGGGGGGTTCGAAAATACCTCTTAATTTTTCGAAGTTTTGCATGGCTTCCTCGGGGAAAAACCCTAAGAGGTTCCATGCCCACCCTTTTTCAAAAGTCTGTAAGAACGGGAAGTTAAATTTAGATTTGGTACGAAAACTTCTATAGAAGTTTACAGTCCAAGGAAACTTCTTAAAACTTTTTGGTTAGCAGGGAACGTAACTTTCTAAACGGCTTTGGGTCTTATTAGGAAGTGGAGAAGTTGTTGTCCAGATATAATGAACCCAAAGGGATTGTATCTTTATGATAGCCAAGAAAAGCACTTTTGTTTTAAACTTAAGTCCATGGGGTTTCTTAGTCTTTTCAAAACAAGCGATTGTATTAAGATTCTTCCCAGACATTTGGCATGAAAATAAATATTATCAAAATACACTGATACATTCTTTGATCAGAAAGAACTATCTCATAAGGCCTAATATAGGGGCACATGCGGTAACCAAGCCGAAAGCTTTGTTCGATTTGCATTAGACCTCATGAGTGGGAAAAGCAGTTATTGGTTTAGAGTCTGGGTGTAATGGCACTTGATGGTATGCTTGTGAGATGTTTTAATTCCGAGAAGAATTTGCAAGTCAGGAATTTTAAACAAGTCTTTGACCCAATTACTGGCATGGGTTCTCACCATTAGTTATAGTATTTTAAATAACGAAAATCTTGTGCAAGTCGGAAAGAATTATCGGGTTTCTTAACCATAACAACGGGTTTGAAACAGAAGCTATTCCCGAAGGGTTTTTCTATGATTTTAATTTAAATAGTTTGTCAACCTCATTATCAAAAGTTTTCCGTAATAGAAGGGGAACGGGTAGATTTCCCCGCTTACTGGTTTCAAGATCCACAATTCAATCTTGTGTTACAATAGTGGTGGTAAGTCCTGGTACCTCTGTGAATAGTCAGAAAAAATGAATTTACTAAGCACTTCCC